CAATAACCTTCCTGTTACCATTGTAATTTGTCCTTAAAAATCATCTAAATAGTTTCTGTTGTATGCAGAATTAGAAGTCAACTGAAAAGTGTATGGAAGAATAATAATAAGTGAAACACGAGTTAATGACTTTCAGTTGTTTTCAGAATGTCTGCTCCTGTCTTCCCTTTCAACAAATAACTTTTAACTGCAGAACAATTAACAAACAATGAAAATAATAGTAATTAGAACATTTTACAGTACAGTTATTTAAAGGTTCAGTGTGTAAGTTCTAGTGATATCTAGTGGTAAGGGTTACCATTTGCACCCCCCCTCCCCTACCCAAGAAAGCAGTATAGCTAAGGTGCCTGAGACAGGACAAAGATGTCATCCATGAGATAAAAGACATTGCCAGTCAAGAAATGAGGTTTCTTTAGATAGATGCGTTAAGATATTATATAAATTATGTAAAATCATATATTTTTTTGAATATTATTGTTACTTTTTCATTAATAAATGAAGTGCTACATGATGTCTCATACTCCTGTAATACATTATTTTACATCTTGGGAGGGTTGGCTCATCTGGACTAACAAACCAAAGTAAATGAAGAAATTCTCAAACACTATCACATCTAGTGCATCAAGTATGACCACTGACATTGTAAGCCTCACTGTTTGCATCACAGTCCATTTTAAACCACATAATACATGAAGTTTACAAAGGCATTGGCTGGGGAGGATCAAGGCTCCTCTCACTTTGCTTAATTAGATGAGCAATCTGCAAATCTTACCAAAATGTATTTAGAATTTTTTGAAATACAACAGAAACATAAAGTAGTACTGACAGCCATAATTTCAGCTTGTGGTGAAACGGTGCAACGTTTTTAATGGGCATTTAGCATGTGAAAGTACAAATTACATATTTGTGTGCACAGTGGGGAAGCAACACCCAATAACATTTTTTAATGCAAATTCGGAAAGTATTCGTTATTGCTCACTTGATAGGCACACGATCTTGTTATATATCACCATTATCAGTAAAAAGAAATGCATGCAGTAAAATGTGAAGTGTAGCTGCTGATTTGAGCTTCCCTGCTGTTACCGTTTCATTACCAAAGATATTCATCAGCTGTTTGTCTCAGGAAGGTAAAGGCACATTTCTGTCCACGTAACAAAGCCATAACAGAGGCTGGAGAAGAACTATATGAAGTTACAATCCACCTACATATTTTTTCAAAATTTAGCTGGCTAATCTGAGCTTAGATTCTGGAAGCTGCTGTTTTATTGCCAATGTCTCATTCTAAGGTAATAAAAACATAATGGTTCATTATGTAAGGTCTTTATACACCACTGGAAATGTAGTTATGGATCTCATGAATTTGAATTCAGGGTATATTTGGGAAAGTGTTTTTCTCTTAGTGTTTTATATTTAGGGCATGAGGTTAGAAAGTGCAGCTCTGTCTCTACCTGTCCTGTGTCACACTGGGAGCAGAGGCTCTCCTCTTCTGGTACCCAGCTCTGTCTGTGGTGACCCTTTTCTATGGCCTGGCTCAGTCTGGATGTTGTAATTTTTTTGGTCGTTTCTCTCCAGTATGCGATATATTTTTCTTTTCGCTTGTTGATCATTTCCTTTGGTCAGCTTGAGTTGGTGTTGCTGTCCTGAGGTTGTTACTGCAGAGAGGCTCAGGACCAGCTGCCTGAGGGGAGTCTTCTCTGGTTTCAGCTTCTGGTATGTTAGGCTTTGTGATGGTATGCATTGGCTCTGCTCTGCACGGATTATTTTCTCTCTCTCTCTCTCTTGCTCAATTCAATTCATCCAAAGAAGGTTCAAATCAAGGGCAAATGGACTTGGTTGAAGATACTAGAAGACATTTCATCCCTCATCCAATAGACTTCTTTGTGCAGTATGACAAAAATTTGTTTTTTTGAAAATGAAACCATGTAAACCTATTCTGGTACAACCCCTAAATAAGGTTCTGAACCTGAACATTAGCATAATATGACCTCTTTGAAGTAAGTGTACTACAATTTAACATTGATCTTTTAACAGCTGCCATGTAGGGCTGTGCGATATGACAGAAAAATTCATATCCCGATACAGGTCATTTCATATCCCAATAACGATATATATCACAATATATAACATTTTTTGTAAATTCAATAAAATATCATGAGTTACTGTTACTAAGGTCATTTCCAACTCATGATATTTAGCTGCATCATAAAGGTGAATAACATGAATAATACCATGATATAAAGTGAACAACACAGCAAGTAGTTTTACTAACGTTAGCTAGGCGGTGGGTTAGCAAACTGTTGCTACTTACTGCTGCAAAGCTAACGAGAAGATGAGACGCGGAAATATTTCGGTTAAATGTGGAATTTTTGACGCTACCAAAATAAACGATACAGCATAATTGTTAACAATAGACATTTTTCTGATAGGTATCTTCATATTGCACAGCCCTACTTCCAGGAGAGAAATTGGACCAATTCAAGGCTTAAATCAGACTTAATCTGCCCAGCTTTAGTGATCCCAGACAGTACAGCAGTACTTTAACATCACACTTACCGTTACAGTGATGTAATTACTTACTGAAAGTGTTTAATTGGTGATGTGATAACTTAGCTTACCGTTGTAGGAAAAGTGCACTACATACAGTAAATTTGTAATTTAATTACCTCTTCGTGGTTAGCTCATGCTTAACTCTCCAGGGATTTACAATACAATGAATACAAAAACACTAAATACTGCAATCTCCTTGGTGTCTATACTTATTTTTCTGTCACTTAACTTAACATGTGCAGACAGTAAATTTTTTAATTTTATTGGACAGTTTACTGTAAAGAGGCATACAGGAAACAGAGAGGAGATATGACATGCAACAAAGGACCATGGCAGCAATTCTACTGACGAAGTTGCCATTTGTAACCATTTGACTACCAAGGCGCTAGATACTAACATTTCACTTTATATTGTCATGCTGCACAGTAGCACCTTAAAGATAACCAGTCATATACAGACACAGGAAAAAGTACTGTATGTGAAATAAAGTGAAATATTTTTTCTGTTTACCGTTTATGCCAGTAACAGTATCTTCTACTTAGTTAAAAAAACATCCCAAATAGTTAAAAACAGCCAAGTGTCTCTCATTTCAAGAGTCAATTGCACTTCCATAAGTAAGGAAACAGGAAAAAATATTCATCGTATGTGCACTTGTGGAATGTTTTACACATTTCCTCAGAGCTCTGACTGGACGTTTATCACCATGAACCTCTGGTAGCCTTTCATTTCTCACACAGCATGATTATGTTTTTTACAACATAGAATCAACTTCATGATTTGACATGGGGAGGGTGGCCCTGCTGGTATGTTTCTTCTTTAAACACATACCACATCCCTTGCTCATGAAGATATCTAATTTTACAGCATGTAGGTGCACTTTCCTCCCTGGCTTTTCTTCTTTTCATGCACTCCCTCTCAGCTCTACCTTTTCTCTTTCTCTCATTATCTCTTGCTCCTCCACTGTCCATTTTTTCTCTACAGTCATGAACTAACCGAATGTTGTGTTGATGTGTAGCCTATGTGCGTGCAACCAATCACGCGTAACAGATGTCATACAATCAGGTTAAAAGCAGACAGACTGATGTTCTACTGTTCTGAGAGTCTGTAGCTGCCCTTTTCACTTTGATTTACCCATTTCATTTAGCATTTTTAACACTGGCTTGACACTCCAGGCCAATCAGCTTGCCAGGCTACCGGGAAATCTTCCAGTGCTCCTGATGGCCAGACCAGGTCTGGATGACACCATATTTGGTATAACAGGGGAAGTGCATCGAAGGGACGGTGTTAAAGCTTGTCTAGTGGAGGTTATAACCAAAAATGATATAATGATATAAATGATCATGATTAATAAATCTTTAAAAACCCTTAAAACACCACCATAAATACTCATTAATTAAAAAGACCTCTTCGTGCCCTCAGGAACAAAACTTTTCAAAATATTCTCTCTTTTTTCTGAGAAAAGCTATATTACCGCCTGTTTTCGCTAGACTTCTATATCAATAAAAAAATATAGACGAAATGTAATGTTGCATTTAATTGAAAAGTGTCAACAGGACTGGGTACATTATTTTTTCTTTAATATGTAATCAATGGTTTACACACTACAGTGTAGCTGTAAGCAGATGTAAGTGTTTATTAATGTATTTGTCAATAATAATGCTTCCTGTGAGCAATTATAATTAGAAAGCTTTAATGGCGTGTGTTTGTGTACCCACAGAAGAAATTTTACTCAAGGTTTTCATTGTTCTTAATGTACCAAGTTCCAAGACTACATTACAGGAAAATATATAGCTAGAAACAAACAACAAGCTGAACAAAGTTAGGCAAATCTTTATCAGCTATAACTACAGGTGATAATGAAAAGTTTGTATCATAACAAGGTTTCCATCTGAAGCCATCAGTAGTGCACCTGTATCAGCTGTCACAAAGTTCTTCTCTAAACACATGTCAGACTTACCACCAAAGTATTGATTATAGAGCCTGTATTGCACTCCTCATTTACAAAACACACAGTAACTTTAAGCTGTCTTAACTTAAAAAGCCTTTCTTCCTCATACATTTCTGTGCAAAACCGTCCACCACAGGAAAAAAAACTAACCTTAGATATCCCTCATGTTTGCACTAATGTTGGCAGAACTGAGTTGGGTTACTATGCACTAAATTAGAAAATTAGAAATTAAATTAAAATCCAGAGGAGATTATTATCTGATGTTTTTTTTAAATTCTTGTTACTGATTTTACAAATTCCTTGTTATTGTATTATTTGTTGTTTCTGTTTTCTGATTGTGTTCTTGTGATTGTTTCTTGTTCTCATGTTGGTAAGAGATCCTAATCTGAATGAGACTGTCTGATTAAATAAAAAAATAAAATAAAAATTGCAATTTTTAAGTTTTACTTGGTTTTCATAAATCATAACAACCTCTTTGTCTCCTCCCTCTTAATATCTCCTTCAGATCAGTAAGCAGCACCTGCAAACAGTCAAAGAGCGTTTCCAGGCGTTCCTCAGTGGAGATACCCAGATTGTTGCAGATGAGGCTTTCATCAACGCTGTCCAGAGCTACTATGACGTGAGTCTTTATTATCTGTTACATGCATATTTAACTCAACCACCAGTATATTCACAAAACATACATTTAATGTTGTTTATAGTGTGAATTTGATTGCATATACATTTACTGTACATGTATTACTGCTGGGTTTGTAACTATATCTGACCTCTGCCCTCCCTGTGAAGGAACAAAAGAAAGCTTCTCTGTATAACCTTAATAATACTTTATGCTAATTCTTTATAATTATTTAGATATAGTCTAAATCTGTTTACCTTTTGCAAGCTGTTTAGTTACTGTTGCTAGCCTCCTCTTTTTTTTAATGGATCTGTCCTGACGGTAAAACCATGGAGTGAAAAGTATCCAAACCTCAGTGGAGAAAACTTGTCTTGGCACTGATAAATGATGCAGAGTGTGCACTGAGCTCATCAGGGTAATCTTAATAATATGCTCCCTAATGACCAGGATTCAGTGGGCTTGATCCGCCCAGAATAGAAGAGGGAAATAAAATGTGAAGAAAGAAGAGCGAGAGTCTTCTCTGCATCTCACATTTCTAAACAGTCTGAATTGCACTGTTCATTTGAAAACTTTCTCTCAGAGGATCTTTCTGGCACACTAGGTGAGTCGTCAGTTTCAGCCAATTTATAAAAGTAGTTTGTTGAACTTGTTCCTCTGTAGTAACATTTGACATACCGCTCAGTTTGTACATTTTCATCCCTTTTAACTTACTATAATGTTACTAAATGCATTCAACACAGATACTGGAAACTTTAAAAACTTTTTAATAATAATTACCTAAAAAGGCATATGAAAACAACCCCACTCATAGGTGTCATTTATACTGGGGACCCTGGGGACATGTCCCCACCACTTTTTGAATTGGCTGATTTTGTCCCCATCACTTTTTGAAAGCATTTGTGAAAAATGTTCTAAAAAAATAGCTTGCAACAAGAAATGTTAAATAACAAATGAAATTGCTTTTTTATTTGCAAAATAAGAAAACATTCAGTGCAGTTTAAATCTAGAAGAAACATGTGCGCATTGTCCAAGAAAGTTACTTAAGCAACCAAAAAAAGCTACTGATTACTGCATTATATTCCATTATATTTTAATATTTTGAATTGTCACCTGCCACCTGAATTTTGTTTCCCTTCATATAAAAAAAGACATTTAGACCATAAATTGGTGCAGAAAATGTCTCCACAATGCAGGAGGTTTAATGCTCAATATCTTCTGGGGAGGACACCCAGACCCCCCGCTCATATATTTCAGCATCAAATATTTGATCTAAATAGTGCTACAAATCGTCTTGTGCATCGTCACGTCTCATGACCCGCATGTATCATCACGTCCCTAATCTGAGCCCTTATGTCCGCACCACTTTTCAACACAAAGTGACGGCCTTGACCCCACTGCTCACTTTTTATAAGAACTCACATATTGTGCATTTTGCACAATTTTTCAGAAAAAATTAAAAAATTATTCTGAAAATTTTATTATTGTATTTTTAGTAAGAAAACATTTAGAAAGTAGTTTATGTCAAAATCTATTATGAAATACACTAGGACATGTAAAACAAAACAAAGCTCTTCTTTATATAAACAAATGTCTGCACATATAATATGCACGTTATTAGGTTCACCTAGCTAAAATGAATGCAGTCTAGTACACAGCCCACAGCTAAATCACGCTGGTTTTAATATTTAGTTTATGTTGAAACTGCCCCATATACATTACATCTGTTGCATCCATATGATATGCTTTCCACATGTCATGATGTTATCTGTATGGTCCCTGTTAAATAAACAAAATAAATATAGAAATATTATGTTTACTTATATACCCATACCAAGTAAAACAGAAAATGAAATGTTAAACTATTCATACAACCCTTTAAAAGTTACTTTTGACAAAAGGTTTCCCAGAAATGGACACATGCACAAGCAACATGTCAGATCTATCTAAGTTCTATGATTATTTTGTGTCTGTGACATTTAACAGATGAAGCTGGTGGCACAGGTTATCCAATTCAATTAAAAGCTAAAGCTCTCAGGTCGGCTTTAGCTTCAGGCTAAAACTGACTGAGACAGACAGAGAGAGATAGGGGCAGACAGAAATAGGAAGATAGGAAAAAACAGAGACAAAGAGTTACAGACAGCTTGGCAGTGTCGACAGCAGGAATTTACCACCCGCCAATCACAAGCTTGTATACACTTTCGAATATGAGTCAGCTTTCTGGCAATGCAAAAATGTTTGGTTTGTGATTCATCTTTGTTTCACTTAATTTGTAAAAATCAATAACAGGGAATATAAAAGGGGGTTTAACCTGTGATTGTGTAGGCCGGGCGTATAGGCAGGACCTTGATACCGCAACTCCAGCCCTGATCTATGAGGAGCCATACCGGCCATTACACATTGTAGCCCTCTGACACACAAACATTCTCCATTCACATACATGTGTTTTCACTCTCACATGAATTTATTTTCATTCTTACACCCAAATATTTTCATTCTCTTATGTACACATTTTAACACAAACATTCATACATTTTGCTCATGCACATGCAGTCAATGTTTACATTTAATATCAAATATATTATCTGCGTGTAAGAGAAAATACATGTATGTGTGAGCCAGAGTATAGTGGAGCAGGAGTCGTTTAAACGCATCAGGTGAGATACTTTTGTGCATGAAACATAACTAAGTTAACTAGCTAGTAGTAACCAAGCAATGAACGTTAGCTAGCATTACAGCATTAACATGTTGGTGATGAAAGTTGTGTGAGACGAAAGATGTAGTTCACTGAACGAGTTTCACACAAAACTAAATGTTACTTTTCTTCTTTACGACAAACTGCAATTTTCTTGAAGGACAAAATTATCTTTAAAATTGACTAACATCATATGTGTACTTCCGACAGTGGTAAATGGGGTAAAAAAAAAACTTCTCTCATGCCATTGACTACCATACATATTTTTTTTACAAAATCATCTCCCGTGGGGCGGAAACGTAAGTGAGGGACTTTCTTCATCTTCTCGTCCTTAGTGAACGAGAGGATGGCTGCTTCAGGAAAATTGACATTCTGTATGCAGATGTCAATCCTGCTCTCCTTGCTCCCTCCCCAATCACTGCATGATTCCATTTCCACTATACTCTGGCCCACACAAACTTACATTCTCCTCTTACATGCATATTTTATTATATGCGTACTGTATTACGATTCTATAAAAATGTGATGAGATTTCTCGTCAGGGTAAAAGCTGTCTCACGAGACTCACATTTTTCACCTGCTGTCAAGCCACACATTACTCTGCTCACGCAGGGTTAATCAAATGTAAAACTAAAAACGTAGGCTTGCGGAGCGAGTCAACTCCACCCAGCTGATGCGACACCGGCGTGTGCTGTGATAATAATCTAGTGAACCTCTCAGGTAACGTGTGGATTTGTGGTGGGATTTCTGCCTGATCACAAGTGTTGACAATTCCTTTCGGTTTTTATATGCAACATGCAGTCCAAACTGTATTGGTCAAACGGATACTAAAAACAAGAATAGGGCAGGTAGAATTCGCAGTAAAAAATTACATTATTCTTGTAACATTATGACTTCTTTCTCGACAAGTCAGAGAACACATGTGGGAGAGTGAGAAAGTTTTGAACATGAGCAGGAAACTGGCAGAAACACAGGAGCTATTAAAGTCCAGGGGTTTGTAACTGAATTAAAATAAATGAATTTATCATTGAGGTGAAAAGGTGCCACATGCAGATTTGAAACAGAGACACAAAAGAGGAGAGAAGACTAAATCAGCCTGCATGTGTGCTGACTGAGCAGGGATGATATTAATTCGAAAAGTTTATCTACAGGAGAAACAACACAGAATGCCTGAGAGCTTTACTGCTTTATATTCCATTATATTTTGAATTTTTTTAGATATATAAAATATTTCCATGGTAAATTGGTGCAGAAAAATTCAGCAGAGTGCAGGAAATTATTATGCTCAATTTTCATATAATTCAGCATTAAAGATTTCTTAAAAATAGTGTTAAAATCTTGTCTCATCTCGTGAACCCAATCTCCTGTTTGGTCTCGTCTCGTCACACCCCTATATATATATGATATTAAATGTATACATAGATTGCATGTTTGTGAGCAAAATGTATGAATGCGGTGTTAAAAAAAGGGTTGGGTATAGTTTAAAATGTTATGATACCAGTAGTGAAACCAGTACCCTTAGAGTGACACAGATAAGAGAATACTTCATTTGATACCTTGTGTAAAATGCCATCTGTTGAAGCCATAGTATAGCCATATTATATATTATATATATTATACTACATATAGCCATATTGGTATTATTATTTTTATGGTTATGGACGAGCAATGTGATCTATTTTATGAAATTACTGCTACTGTTGTAAATATTGGGAAATTGTATCAGATCTCTCCTTATCCTAATTAGGTCATCCACTCTTGTGGTATTTTCAGAGGAAGACCGAAAGCTTGGCTGATGTTTTTGTACAGTAAGAAGTAGAAAATGAGTAAGGAGGCGGCTTAAACAAGTCACTAACTTTCAATAAAATTTTCACCTGAGCCAGCCCTAACCTACACTAAACAGTCTAAAGAAGCAAACAAAAGAGAGTCTACACATCCAGCCGACCACATCAACTACAAAAATTGCGAGCAAAATGGTCACACTGTAGTGCCCTGGAGGGGTTTTTTGGAGGCAACATAAAGGTGTGGCTTCCCACTCTTCCCATTCTCAGGCAAGGCCAGAACACAGGAAATACAGTTTAGCAGTATTTATCTTCAGAGATGAGCAGTGCCCAAAACAACAACAAACAAAACACTCCAAGAAACCTACAACTTTCTTAATACAAAAACTAAAGAAAACACAAAGCTCTCAACTAGGCTTCTAATACCAAAAAACAGGAGAAAAGGGATGCAAACAAAAAGGGTTTCTCACTCCTACTAACTGCCAGTAGCTGACACAACAAAGAAAATTGATACATAGCAAACAAAATGGCTAAAACCAACAAAACAAAGTTGTCAAAGACATCAATCAGAGTTACAAAGTTAAGCCATTCAAAGTCTAATGTGTTCGCTACACAGGTTCACTCACAAAGTCTAGTTGACAACAGTTCTCTACTCTGCAAACAAACAGGACACAGGCTCAGTGGCCGGTACTGCGAAGCGGGGTAACTGGCTTATCCAGGTAACTTCAGGAGTAACTTTGTGACGTCTGGTGTAACTTCCTGATTAACCCATACTATGAAAGGTGGATAGGTGTTACCCGAGGTCTGTTGCCATGGCAATTTACGCCGCATCTCTTAACTGCTCCGAGCAGGTGTTGTTCTCAGTGTTAATGATGAGAAGTAGGATATTAATACACACCACTTATAAAATGTTTAGATTTCATCCTGATTTGTTCCACTGAGGTTGCAATGAAGTTCTGAACACAACAGCATTACATTCAGACAGCGAGCCCTGCAGCCTCTGTGATTTTAGAGAGGAATCTTAATTAATCAGTGGGATAGTTTCTTAGATGTAGCCCATCTGTAGTCTATAATTGAATTCTCCTGTTTGTGTTTTCACATATTTAGATAGATTATTTTATGTATCCAAAAAATAGGGAGCCAGGGTGAGGGTTAATAACCGAGAAAAAAAAAAGCTAAATGAAAGTGTGATTTTTTTATTTCAAGAGCAAAAATCGGAAATTCCCTGAAATTAAATCGAAAATCACTCTGTTATCTTCTGAATACGCCTAATCCAAGGCAAAGTCTCTAAGGTGCTTGGCAGTGATTATGGGCTAAACTCAGGAGTATTTCCTCACTGCTAAAGAAAGTTTAATACAACTTTTTAGTGCATGCATACTACACGGCAGACGTGTGTGTGTGTGTGTGTGTGTATGTGTGAGGTTGCAGCCTTGCAAAGTGAAGTTTCTCTCATAAATGTGTGACTATAATGTCAGTGAATATTCAAGTTTTTTACTTGTAGATTAATCTTGGAAATGAAATTCTGTCTCGGATTATTCCCCCTCTCCGCTGGCTCCTTTTTTTTTTACAATGAACCTTATGTGCAGTTGTACCTTTACATCTTAATCATATTACACATAAAAGAAGAGCCCATAAAATACATAATAGAGATTTAAACTACAATAAGAACACTGTGAAGATAATTAGGCTACAAATTTAGGCCTACTCAGTGTGATGCCAACAAGCCTCCCTGGCTTTGTCGGCCGCCACGATATTAGATTTAGCCGTTAACTTGTCTTTACATTCATAATTTCCTGACACCACCAATATGCATTCCGCTGGAGAAATACGGAGCATGCGCCGTTGCGAAAAAACTCTGCTTGCATGCCCGAACACACCCCTTTTATGTGAACATGCACCAACTCCAATTAAGTTAACACGGACTAACCAACATCTTATCCACCTTCGTAGTACCGTTTAACTCCAGTGTAGGCGGTCAGAGTTTGTCAACCCCGAATTAACTCTGAGTAGGCCGAACTCCCTTCGTAGTACAGGCCAAAGGTTGGGAATGGCAGAGAGAGAGAAGGGGCAGAGTGCCTGGCAAATGAGGCTTAAGATGGCTGCTGTCATCCAGGCAACCAATCAAGAGGCAGCAATCAACGTTGCAGGACCAATCCAGGGTGCCCACCTGTTCTCCATTACCTGTATGCACACACACACACACTCTAAGGGAGGAAACAGCTGACAGTGCAGAGTGAGAGATAAACAAATTACAAAATATGACCCCAGGGTCATAACAGTACATATAGAAATAAATGTAGAAAAATATACAGTCGCAGGAAAAAGTATGTTAACCCTTTGGAATTACCTGGATTTCTGCATAAATTGGTCATTGGTCAGTCTGCTTAAACTAACTCCACACAAACATGTTTTTAATGTTTTTACTGAACACATCGCGTAAACATTCACAGTGCAGGGTGGGAAAAGTATGCGAACCCTTGGATAATAATAAGTGGTTGCCCCTCCTTTGGTAGCAATAACCTCGACCAAACATTTCCTGTAGTTGCAGATCAGACCTGAACAACGGTCAGGAGGATTTTTGGACCATTCCTCTTTAAAAAACTGTTTCAGTACAGCAATATTCTTGGAATGTATGATGTGAATTGCTCTCTTGAGCTCTTACTGGGCCACTCCAGAAGGCGTAATTTCTTTTGCTGAAGCCATTCTGTTGTTGAATTACTTGTCCTTTTGCATCACCTATCGTCCTGTTGAATCACTCATCTTCTGTCGAGCTTCACTTGGCAGACAGATGGCCTTACCTTCAACCTCCTAAATTTCTTGATAAACTTTGGAATTCATTTTTCTGTTGATGATGGTAACCCTTTCGGGGCCTGAGGCAGAGAAGCAGGCCCAAACCATGATACCCCCTCCACCATACTTCAAAGTTGGGATGAGGTTTTGATATTGGTAAAATCATAAAATCATTCAATTCTTTGTGTGGTTAGTTAGTGTGCTTGCTTTTTGTTTGATAAATCTTAAGAACTGTACCTGCTCTGCTCCTGTGACAATCACATACATTTCCTGGGACTGTCTAAATGTATAAATAAATAAATAAAGGGAGACGCAAATAACGATGCAATGCATGAGAGTACAGAGTTCTGGTTTATATTCCACAAGCGATGAATAACTTCAGTAAGGTGTACCAGTGTTGCTACATCACAAATGTTTGAATTTCACTTAAATGAATAGAAATGAAAATAAATAGAAAATTTACTTGATGAAAATGTTTGAAATGTATTAAGGAGGGCATTGCACTATACGAGTAGGAGGAGTAGGAATTAGGAGTAGGAGACTGGGAGATAGAAAGTAGGAAAAGTAGAGTGAGTTTATTCTACATGATAGTAAGTGTCAGGAGAGGAGTTGGCAGGCTGATTGGCACTGTGGGGATGGAACTCGTTCAGTGGTATACTTTGGTGGTATCAGTCTTTGCTGAAGGTGTTCATCCAGAAAGGCATAAAGGGGGAGAGAAGTATTTGTCCGTGATGCTGTTGCGTTAGCAGCATCCTTCTCTCAAGATCCACCCCAGGATGGAACTGGCCCTCCCGATAAGTTTGTTATACAGTGTAGATATAAGTCAGATAAAAAAATAACAACAACTAATCTGTCAATACTCAAACTGATTGCAGGTTTTCCTGAAAAGTGACCGTGTCTCCCGGATGGTGCAGAGTGGCGGCTGCTCGGCCAGTGACTCTCGGGAGGTTTTTAAGAAGCACATAGAGAAGCGAGTGCGCAGCCTGCCTGAGATCGATGGCCTGAGCAAAGAGACCGTGCTGAGTTCCTGGATAGCCAAGTTTGACACAATCTACAGAGGTGAAGAGGACCCCAGGAAGCACCAGCAGAGAATGACAGCCAGTGCCGCCTCCGAGCTCATCCTCAGCAAGGACCAGCTGTACGAGATGTTCCAGCAGATCCTGGGTGTCAAGAAGTTTGAGCACCAGCTCCTCTATAATGCCTGCCAGGTCAGTTCTCATCTGTAGGGTGGAAATATTATATATCTAAAGGAAATTAGAAGTGTCCTTTGACTCAACCGCATGTTAAATCACAATATTCACATTAGTTTATCCCCTTCCCAGCACTCTTTAATTCTAACCAAAGCTATGAGAACCATTTCTCAACCACCATCTGGCTCTAAATCATGCCGTCTACGATACACTGACCTGCTGTTGAATGCATCTAATACTACATTACTGTCTACAGGGAGGGCTTGCAACTTTGAGATTTCATTTAACTATAACTATGTTTCACATTTTAAGGAGGAGCTAGATAACTTTGTTTGACAAGCCGTGTTAGAGTCTTGTTCAATTCAAATTTATTCTGGTTTAATCATTTCATGTGGAGTATACAGGAGGGGAAATACAGTTATTTTTATTTACTGATAAATTTAATTTATTTTCAAGCCCACTTGGTGTGGGGATGTGACCTGGAATGGTGCTAAAAAGCTTTTTGCTATTACGAAATCATTACTGCATGAATTATGACACTTTATTACTTCTAAAAACATGACCATTGACCAGAATTAACATCCTCTACTGACTGCCATAGTCTTGTTACATATACAGCAATTCCTTTCACTATGCTACCTGAAGGATTATTGACTGAATCTGCAAAGTATGATCTTTACAAAAACAATTCATGACTTTTTCTGCTGTTTCCTCTAAAATCTGAGTTTCATAAACTTAAATGTCAATAAAATACTTCTCTTTGCTTATGTAAAGTATTTTTAAATGTTTCTGTTTAAATATGCAATATAGATAAAGCTGGCTCGTCTTGCCATGCCTTAGTCATGGTAAAAAAAAGTTTATATGACAACGGTACAAACAGCGGTCTTCTGTATCAGAGTCAGAGACTTTGTCTCTCCCCAAGATGTTTTGCGTCACATTCCATATGTACTTCCATATTTGCTTTTGAAAAAGGACTGTTTTTACTCTCACCTCTGCGGCATCTCTGAAAGTGAAAACGCTGGTAAGAAGAAAAGAAGCCAACTTCATTTTAAAAACATGTCCAATTTCCTCACGTGCAGAATAAAAGTCAACCAGACGTGTGGAGGCTTTTACAGGCTTCGAGCCAGACTGAATGCAGAATAGCAGTCTGAGTATGGGGGAGGAACAATAAGACAGGCCTCTATACATAGATCATCCACTATTTAAGTGCCAAATATTGCATCAACGGAAAATGTGCAGCTGGATGGAAAATTTGTTATTAATATGGAGATGTGGTCGTCTGCAGCTGGCCTATAGGTACTCAGCCACTCTTTTGTCAGAGTGCAGTCGAGTCAGTGGAGAGGCTGTGAGTGGTGAATCCTGCCCACTGTCAGGGCTCCTTAATCTTGTCTATTCCTTTTACTGTTTCATTCCAGCATTGGTTATGGGAAGGCTGTCTTAGAGTACAATGTGCATTTTAAGCTGCAAACCAAGTATGGCAAAAAGAAAGTAACAGACACATTACAATTTGAGTTTGATTTATTTCATCAATAGATATTTCGTTATATACAAAAAGTAGTCCCACCAGGCTGCCGGTACATAGTGCATGATTGCTAAGGTTGGTTGCTAAGCAACATACATCAAATTTATATATATTTATTTGCACGTTGCCGTTTATTCACAGTTTTCACGTGACGTCCCATTCCAAGAAAAACACTCCCTTGGAGGGCAAAAAAGACATTTGCTGTGTCCGGAATCACCCACTACTCACTATATAATGCATTATATAGTGCATTATAATGCATTATATAGTGAGCTCGCCATTTTATAGTGCTGTCCGAATGTATGGTGAGAGTTATTATACCCTATATAGTCCACTCAATGTATTCCAGAATGCATTTTGAAAAGTAGTGTACAACTGATGGTCACTAACATACATACCATCATGCATTGCGCTGATAGAAAAAACTGATTGTCCGATGGCAATGACGTAATTAACGGCGCCGAAATAACGATCGGAGTAGTGTCTGTTTTAATAATCTTTGGGACACAGCAGTTATTTTCCACTGTTAGGCTATTTTGAGTTTGTTCCTTTTGGTTGTTGTGCTTTTGGATGCACTAAGCGATGAGGAGACAAGCCTGAGGTGTGTTAGGTGAGAGATTCCCTTCAAGGTAGATGTAAACATTACCACAGTCGAGCGCCGCCAGGGACCTGGCTTATTTTAACGGTGGAAATACGGCAGCATATATGCTGTATATGGATCACAAGTGCCCAACACTTGCAGTTTGTGTCCATCATCATCATCAATTTTTTTCTTGTGCTGAGAGGTGATCCAAATATAATTTAACGACTTTTGCGGCGTCTCTACCAGGGAGTCTGGTGTGAGCCGCTATCTTGATCTGTTGTTTTGCCCTCCAGGGCAAACTGTCTAGCGTTAGTAGATTGACTTTGGTAACTTGTACTTGACTTGTATTTTTTGTGAGGTGGAGTTGTGTGTGTTGCAGCGAGGATATTACTTCACTTTCTCCGGTACCCAACTTTCGGTTGCCATTAGCTCTGGAGAGAGCCTTTACACTTGTGTCCACTCACAGCCATAATCTGTCTCGTTTCAAGACCTTTGACCAAGCGTTTTTGAATTGTGGTACTGTGGAGGCAGTGGTTCTTTATCCTTGCCATGTCCCTGCTGGCAAGCATATTCTTGGCAACATTGCCAGGTAATTAACGCCCATTGGCTCTCAAGTGTACCTGTAATACACCAAATGCATTTTTAGATAATGTTTTAATCTAGTAATAACCTACAAAAAAAAGCCCAACTGTTATTTTACTTACCAAAGATAAAAAGCCAATGCATCCGGAGGAAGGTGGGAGATGTATTTCTCCAGAGATGACACAGGACAGAGTGGTTGCCAAGAGGTTCATACATAAATCCCCCTGTGCTCTCTTTATTCTTCCCCTGAGGGTCATTGTGATTCTTTGTGTGTTCGTCGAACGGTAGTGTGGCATATTTTAGTCCGTTTTCCTCTCTATTGTTGATGAATGATGTGGGTTTTAGCAGCCGATTGCCCTCATTTGCCCAGCACCCGAAGTGTAGCTCAACGTCAAACCATAGGCTAGTTGTTAATCTTGATGGCTTTTAAGTCATCTTCTGATATTGATGTGTGATGGACCGTAGTGTCTCTGTCTTCTCAGTGTTTTCACAACACCAGTGTACACTCTGTATCTCCACCAGGATAGACAACGCGTTCTCATCTCAGTGCGTCATCACCGACGCTTTCAGAGAGCGTGAGAAAGCGTAATTTACGCTAAAGGAACCCTTCAGCATCCATATAAAATGCCACCGTTTGCTACATCGCAGCAACACAAAGGTAAACATGCATAAATTCAGTGACTTAGGTTAAGGCACTAATATTTCTGATGGTTATGGTATGGGTAGGGGGCTTCGGGGGCCTGTAAAGCCGGTCTGTACTCCCCAGAGCGTCTCATACTGATGCATCCGGGAGCGTCTTATAGAGACACACCAGGAGCATCCCCCCCCGGTGGTTAAAGGGTACCTCTAGTGTCAAATAACTACGCTTCATCACTTTTTCTGAAAGCGTTGGTATTGGACGCCCTGAGATTAGAACGGTCTGGGACAGACTGAGTGACGGGTCGTTAATGTAACAACTGATGCCAGCACGTAGACATGTAGTTTGCCTTTACTGTTTCTGACAGTGGCATAGAAACCTCTTTTTTTGAAACGGTATTTTGAGGTTGGAAAGTCTGTTGCTACACCTTTATCATTCCACCACTTTTCCACTACTTTGTTTGCTTCAGTGTTCGGTTCAAACCGGTTCTCTTCGTGTTTGTCGACCTCCTCTTTAGTTAGCTCCGTATGTCTAACAGGAAGTTGAAGTTTACTAGTTTTTTACTTAGTTTCCAGCTAGCCAGTAATCTAACGCTATTTTCTAACGTTACTTTGTTGTGGAGTGGTACGGATATGTGCAAAGGAATTCAACGTCATAGCCGTTGTACGCGCTCATTATACCACTACTATGAACCAATCAGATCGCTTGATTTGAGCTTCCCGATTTATAAAAATTTATGCCATATTTATATACATGACAGCTAGACATCTCTAGTTTCTTGGATCCTGAAAATTCTGGGACCTGTACAGAGTTAACCTGGTCCATGAAGTACAAATCTTTTTATCAAAATCCTACTTGTTTAACATGATCATCTCTGAAAATTAACACATCTACCATATTTTTCTGATCGTATTAGAGCCACATGAGCAATAAATATAAAAGACAGACAGACAACTAATATTGTACAGCTTCAGCATTCAAGCTTGTTGTATAATTAATGTGACACAGCCAACTGTGCAATGTAGTAGGAAGGGAGCTTGTGGGAGGAAGAAAAATAGTAGAAATCTGGCAAGAGAGTCCAAGGCTTAAATAAATGCTTTCCTTTTAGGACTACAAACCGTTACACTCTAAATCCTACAATGCCAGATTTTCTTAAAGCGTTTGCTGTTGCTATCTTTACACTTCATTTGGATTTGTTCTCAAGGCATTTATAACTTTTAAATTTAGATTCAGTGGGAATGATCAGCAAGCCATTAGGAGGTGACCACCTGAAATGTTGTGAAATCCAAAAGTATTTCCTAAAAGTGAGTGAGTACTCTGTTCAGAGAAGGCAGGTGAGACAGCCTCTCCAGTTTTTGTAGATGTATCAGTCCTGCACAGTCTTACTGCAGATCACTGTACTGTTGAGAAAAACTTGACAGCATCTTCTCCTGTTTTAGCGCAGTGTGTACTTCCAGACTTCCCTGTGACGCTGCATGGTACTTTTGAAGTCCCCATGAGATCAAAGTAGATATTCAAGTGAATTTATATATCTTGCCATGGCTGCCATTAGGAATTATTGACAGGGGGACAACATTTTTCAAACTGGGCCCCTTATTGACACCTACTCCAGCACCACCTCCACCTTAGTTCATCCTTAGTTCATGTCTGCTTTTCTAATATAAACACGGCGATTTCAAAGAAGCTCTTGGCTA